GCCCTATCTTTATATGTAAAGGGACGTGCGTGGGTAGTCGTATAGTCATAAAATGCAATGTTGTGAGATACCTTAGCATTTTTCTTAAGGGTCTAAGATCATTTTGAAGGTAACATTTGAACGGTCATCGAGGGACTATGATCTTGTATTTTTTATATTGTTTTTGCTAAGATGTCTCACATGCATAACATGACCATTTTATCAAGACAACAAGTGGAGTTAACCCTAGAGGTGAAAGTGTGCAAGTGTTTATATTTCATGCTTGATTTATCTTGAATTAGGGTTTTCTAGGTATTGATTTTATCTTTTCATACAAACCCTAATTACTAGCATTTATATTTGAAAGCGGTAAATTGCGGAAAGTAAATATCCTACGCTATTACATCACTTGGGGATGGGGATATAAATTTACAAATGGGGGTTGCAAGAAATTAAAACCTAATTATCTATTACAACCATATTGAATTTTAATAATTGCACAAGAAATGAATAGATATAATGTACAAGGAAAATGGGAAAAGGAATGGATTTGTTTGGTTTTTGTTAAAGAAAATATTTTAACATAATTATCTAAAAGGAAATAAATAGTTAGAAATAAGAAAATTAAACTCAGTTAATTTAGAAAAAGAGATATTTTTAGAGTTTTCGTGAAAAGAGTTTTAATATTAATCAAAATAGTATAAAAATTAATTTTAAAAAACCATAAGTTCTAAACTAATTTTAATAAAAAAAGAAAATAAACTAAACCTAAGTCTATTGATTAAAATAAATGAAAGGAAAAGAAGTTAAATTTTATAAGAAAAATGTCTTTGATGTTTTAGTCTTAAAAGAAAAATATGAATATATCAGTATGAATAAATAAAATATTTTTTTTGAATTTTTTATTAATAAAATAATATTAACAATAATAAAAGAAAATAAAATAAAATATGAAAACTAAAGTCAGGGGGTGTAAAATGATTTGGGTGGTTTAGGAGTAAACAAATTTGTTTTGTTTGGTCTGGCCCATTAGCATTTTTGTCATCAGAAATGAAATGAAATAAAAAAAGAACAAATGGGTTGCGCTGTAAACCTGCAAAGAGAAGTAAAAATACAAAGGTCCAGTTGTAGAGGCCCAAGGCGCGCTGGCTTGTTCAAACAAAGAAAAGATGGAAAAATGTTAGAAAGAAAAGGAAAAATGGCAGCGCTGGGGCTCCAACCCACACCCTTTGCATAATACGCGCGCTTCCTTACCACTGCAGTGGCTATACATCCGGTGTTATAAATGAAAACATGTTATTATATTACAAAATGTTTCCTGAAGGCAACTTCATCTTCAACCCCGCGCCCTGCCTGAACCTCTTTATCTCATTCAATTCTCAACCAAAAATGAAAATGTAAACATGAAAGTTATGGAAAATTTCATCACGATTTCAGAAATGTAACTCATTAAAACTATAAATCAAAGATAAGCATGGATTTTGGATGGTACCAAATGTAAACTAATTTTTTCAGAAAGTTCAGGTCCAAAATTCTCTCTACTCAAGCAATGTAAATGAATTCTAAGGACATGGTCAGCTTCAGGGCAATGGTATCTATATTTTATCTTTGAAAATAGAAGCTTAACAATGTCTATATGAGGAGTTTGAAAATCATAAAACTTACCTTACAGTTGGGGATCATGTTTTGAGTTAGAGGAGATTTTAAGGTGTTGTGATGATTGAGTTAGCTTCCTTGAACCTCCATGGAGCTAATGAAATAACTACTTTGGGCTGAGGATGACTAACTCGTGCTGGAGAAGTCAAGGTGCAAGCTCTGTTTTTTGGTTATGAAAGTTGATGAAGATGGTGTTATAGTTGGATAACAGGTGTTGGGATTGTTTATGTATGAAGTTTATAAGCTTTTGGAAGCAAAGGGCTAAGAAACGTACGAGTGGATTGAGAGAAGTGAGTTTTTGGTCAAGATCTGCACAACAATGGATTTTTTGTGTGCAATCTATGTTTGGGAGAGTTGTTTGTAGGCTTGAGAATTCGTCCCTTATGTTGCAAATAATGTCTCTATTTATAGGGAATATGTTTGACATATTGTAGTAACCTGAATCTTGAGATAACATGTTATGGTTTAGTTCAAAATGAAAAAATCAAGTTGAATGGATTTCCATGGTTCCAAAGTTCAAGTACAAGCATGGCCTAATGTTTTTTGGGTGCAGGAGATTTGATTAATGCTTTTGATATTGCTTACAATCAGAGATAAAGGTCACAAGGCTCAATTCATTGACAATTTGCATAAAGCTTGCTTTTCCAAAATGGAAATGTGACCTTTCTTCCTTAAATGACAAGTCAACTTGGATAAAGCTTGAACCACTTGGATTATAGCTTAATCAGTTGTGTAAGCATTCAATTAAGGAGTGATATACAAGTTTAAGGCCTTCAAAGTGAAGATTGTGCAGCATGGCTATGAATTTGGTCAATGTTCATCACAAAATCTACCTTGTAAAACAAGTTTGAAACCCTAACTTCATCTCTTCGATTCTTCTTGCTCAAGCATGATCTCAATGAGTTTTTGGACTTTTTAGAAATCTTTTAACATCCTATACAACTACTATTTTAGTCATTTTCGCAAACTCCAATTGGAACTATGTGAAATTTTTCCAAGATGTTAGGTCAAAATCCTGACTAAAATACTCAAAATTTCACTAAATGTTTCTTAGTTTCATGATCATGACTTCTTGAATCCATAAATTGAAATCCAATAATTTTTAGAACTTGATTCCTTCTACAAAGTTTTATATCTCATTGAGATCTACAACTTTCATGTTGGAAGTTTTTCTTGAATCATCTTGCATCATGGTGAAAATTTGGCACAAAGTCATGAAAAAAAGGTTAACTTTCCAACACTTAGAAAAATTTCGAAGTCTTAGAATTTTGACTTTTCAAAGATGATTTTCAAATTTTTTTATTTCTTGATGAACAATCTTTATATTTTGACATGTCTAGATGAAATATGATTTTTGAAACATGATTTTAATCAAAAAGTCAATGTTTGACTTTTCAGTGTACAGTTGACTTTTTCATCAGTTGACCAAATTTCAACTATCAATCAATTGATCTTGAGAAATGTTTTGAATCATGCCATTAGGTAAAAATGATGTAATTGAAATCTTGATATTATGTCTCAAGCCAACAAGTCATGTATTAGGCCAAAAGTCAAAAATTGAGCCTTCTCAATCAAAACCCTAATTTTGACCATTTTGCCCTTTTGGTTATCTGATCAAATTTATTGAGGAGTGGTGATCCAACCTTGACCAATTGACATATATAAGTTCAAAATGTTGACATGGGTCAAAAATTATGAAGTTTGACTGTAAATTGTCCACAGTTGATTTTTTCCCCAATACATTTGATTTTAGGTCAACTGATCAATTGATTGAGCAAAAATGTGATCCAAAGTTTGAAACTTGACATGAGAAATATTGAGAGTCCAAAATAATCCATGAAAGTCATATGGGGCATTAAAATTCCATTGGTACTTGTGCAAAATAAAACCCTAATTTTGAGTCATCAGTGCTTGAGGAAGTGTCTTGAGCTGATCCATCCTTGTGCATTCTTGAACCAATGGACATCTTGTGAGAGAAATCTTGAGAAAATGAGAGGGTAAATTTTGGGGTACAACAACAAGCATTTCTTGTAATTTTTATTCTTTACTTTCTCTTTAAACAAGATTATAAGTACACAAGAATAACAAATAACCCTCTCACCCTAAATTAGGATTTGAAGTATGCAATGATGAGAGACTAATATGCTATTTATAATAAACCTAACATACTAAACTAATGGGCTTTTTCAAAAATACCCATGACAAGATAACTTAAATAATTTAACATAACAAACAGGCCCAATTCGAAATACTAACAACCCTTGCATTTCGACACCCACATACTAGAGCACACTTCAATTACCGTATGTAGTTCTTCGACACCAGCATGTGAATATACTTCGATGTCATGCATAAATCATGTCGAACCAGAAGCTACTCTTCGACCCAATAGAGTTTGATCTAATATCTCACAGGGCTTATGTCAGGGTATGATAATTTAGGATGGTGGGCTTAAATATTTGGAGTTAGGTACATAGTTTTCCTTATTTTATCACATTCATTTTCATATCAACTCTTTCTTAAACTCTTTGGTACTAGAGATTAACATTTTATGGTTCTAAGCATTGCTTTTCTCTTCTTTTTTTTTTTAAGAAGTTGCCTTGACTTCTTGATTTTTTTCATTTTTATTTTTGAATTTTTGACCAAAATATGTAGTACCCCAACCCCTAACTTAAACTTTTCTCACTTCCAAGAGCAACCCCAAACTTATTATTTTGCATATCACCAAGAAACTAAAATTTCTACCTAACTCCAAAGAGAGGGTGGGAAAATTTAATCTTTCAAGTCAATTGGCTAATTCTTATGGCTATGTCATTGAAAGAAACGACTTAGGCTCAAATTGGTTAGCAAAGGATATAAACATAATATAGATGTTAGTTTGAAAAGGTTCAGAGTTTACCATAATCAAATGCCTCAGTGTGTATTTATCAAACCAATAGATTAAATCAGAAACAATGCAAATTCTAGAAAATAATAATTGTACGAATACTCTCGTAAGAAGGAAAAGAAAACAATGGAATATTTGACTCAAACCTTACTAGTTGAGGTATCTGGAGATTGAGTACAAGTTAGTTGGTTGTTCATTTCTTCCGCAACTCTTAATCTGCAAGTAACTTTCCTGACAATCACCTTTGTTTTTTATGATGCTTATGGCTCATCTGTTCACTGCTAACATTGCAATTTTGTAAATCTGAAAGAAACAACAACAAAAAACTTGTTTATTAAAAACAAACATATATTTATTGGTACAATGGGGAACCAATTATTATAGCTAATTCTCTAGATTGACTTGAGAGATTGACTTGTTGGACGTAAAAGGGAATCATAGAAATTACTATAAATTTAGAAAACTCCAAATTAGCATGTCATTGGAGTGGAAAAATTATTACACGTCTTGCATGGTATTGTTGAAGCCTTGGTTCTGTTTGGTCCACTCTGCCCTCATGTGATTGATGATGATGCTCGAGAGGAGTGGCTTCACTTTGGACCCATTTCCTGAAACAAAAAAAACAACACCAGAAAGTGCAAAGAGATTAGAAAAATAATAATAGGATTAAAGATAGTTATTAGTCTCTCTTTCTTCTTTAAATCCCTTTCTAAAGCCTTTGTCCTACTGCTCTCAAATGTGGCATGCAACAAAACAAAAATGGTTAACGAAAATCACATGAAATTTTTAAAATTGAAAATTAAATAAAATCTTATATGGTGGGTTGCCTCCCATTAAGTGCTTCTTTAAGGTTCTAAGCTTGACCTTTTTGCATTTTTTTAGGACGACATATATAACACGAAAAACACATCATATTTCCTCTTCTCTTTGTTTGGTAGGAATCACTTTTAGGGATTGAAGCTTTTTCTTTCATATTCTCTTTATCTTGATAGTATTGAACAAGACATAAATATCATTCAATACTTTATCTACGTCTAGATAAATTATTGAATTTGGAGCTTCATCCAAAAACTATACAATCCTCATCTTGCATTCTTGCTCTTTTCCCAAATATTTGTTTCACCTCAGCTTCTTTTATTCTTGCTTCAATTTCTTTATCAGGTGTTGTGCAATTTTCTTTTTCTCTCTCTTTTTCAACACCTCCTTCATTGGATACCTGGCAGTCTTGTTTGGATTCTCTTCAATTTCCTTATATCTATGACTATGTAAAATTTTCCCATCAAACTCCCCACTAGAGCTCAATTTTAATTCTAATTGGTTAGATATTTGACCAAGTTGCATATCTAAGTTCTCGAAGGATGCTTCCATGTCTATTTTCAAAGTTTATTGCGACTTATTGATTTTCTAGAAATTGATTTGAGTAATCTTTATGAACTGGGTCAAGATTTCTTTAAGTCGAGATAATGAATCCTCTTACCATGAATGCTCAGTGTTGACGTACGGTTTTGGTTCAGAATAATTTCTCGCATTTTTCATCATGAGATTTTTTGCTGCAAGTTGCTTTTTATAAGCTTCGAACTTTGCTAAAGTAGCATAAATTTCATCTTGCATTATTATCTCAACCTTACATACAAACAAAAATAAAAATACCTTTGTAGCACTGCACTAGATAAAAAAATTTAAACAAAAGTGAAACTAAAAAGAGAAAGAATAGGAAAAACAATTTAAGAAGAAAAAAAACTAACTAATTAGAAAAAAATATATTTACAAATGAAACAAAAAAATTAAATTAAATGTTGCACAAGTGTCGCCTTGTTGAAATTATCAACAGTCCCCGACAACGACCCTAAAAACTTGATGACTTCTCGACAAGTGTACTGATAATGTCGAAGTAATAAAAATATCGATTTCACTAGGAGTGCTATTTAACAAGACAATAATTATGCAATGTTTATAAAAATACTAATTTAGGGGTTTTTCGAGTTTTAATGTGAAAACGAGTAAAAGTTTGTTCGTAATATAATACACAAACAATTAGGTTTTGTTATAGAATCCCCTAACTATCTACTGTTGATGTTCAATGCATTGCATAATTAATATTATTGTTATTATTCTATGGCAGATTAACAAGACGGTTATACCCAATCCCTTTGTGTATAGCTCACTAAGGAAGGTGTGAGAAACACAAGAAAATGGGATTTGAATTGATTTTCAAGATTTAAAACAAATTATTCCCAAGAAAAAACAAACAACACAAGAACAAAAATAAATGACACATTTATTTTTATCCTGGTTCACTGTTAACAAAGTTAATCCAGTCCACCCACCAAGGTGATTTTTCCTTCTCAAATAAGGACTTAATCAACTATAATCAAACATATTACAAACACAACAATGACCAACTGTCAATGTTGCAAACCACAAATACTACCAGTCAATGTCTTATTGAGAATCCTGACTAAAGCCCTAATCTCTCAAGGAACTATTAAATTAAGAGTTAAAATACAATGAGTGTATTTACAAAGTTGCTTCTTGCAAGCAGATTACACAAATTTGAATACAATAAGATAACACAACAATGTTAATAGAAAGTTAATGAACAAAATCTCCTTGCTTGAAAGTTAATTAAAAAAATTCCTTGCATCTACAAAACTTTACAAATGAATATTTGAAATAAATTTGAGCAACGTTTCAGCGTAAGTTTTGCAGAGAATTCATTGTTTTCTTCAACCTTCCAAGTCTTCCTTTTATAGCCAAAAAGAAATTTGTTGGAGGGTAGAACAAGAATACTTAATATTAGTTGTTTTGACTATAATGTTCAGTGAAGGAGTGATAAACAACATTAGTACCATCTATAGTCCTTGCGCCACCTTATCAGGATAATGGAAACATTTGTACCTTGTACTATTCTCTCACGTAAATCAATTTTGATCTTATCTTCTAATATTTAGAGGCCCCTGATGGTTGATGATGAAGCATGCTTAGAAGGACAAAAACTATAATCTTCAAAACCTAAGTCATCAGAGTCTTAAAAACTTGTTCATCCAGAACCTTGTCTTCAGAGTCTTTAGCACTTAGTCTTCAAAATCTGTCTTCAGAATCTTTAGAATTTATTCCCCCAAAACCTTATCTTCAGAATCTTCAAAACTTGGACAAAAAGAATCAGAGCTTAAGAAGTATTCAGAAGCTATTCCAAAAGATTCACGATCAGAATCTATATGACTAACGTTCATCAGATTCGTTGTTATATAAGAATTCTAGAACTTGACTGATTCTTGTAAACACAACTAGTTTCTTCCAGAGTCAGAGTGTGTTGATTTTAGAACCTATTAGCAAAAGCTACACACTAGACATTAACTGTTAGAGTACTAAATTGTTATCTAAGATATCATGTAATATTATCATAAAAAATTAAGGCCAGATACAAAACCAAATCTTGTTATTACAATCTCCCCCTTTTGATGATGACAAAACCATGTATTTAAACAAACAAATTATACTAGGTTTAATATCCTAAAAACACATTCAGATTTAGCTAACTAGCTCTCCCTGAGTTTTATACTTCCAAAATTCATTTTAGCTTGTTCAGAGGCTCCCCCTAAACTCAAGACTTGCAAAACAATTTTAAAGAATAAGAAGGTAAATGGAAAGGAATACTTCCCTGTTTGTAGTTTCATTAGAGTATGACTAGAAATGCCTGGTTCGTCATCTCATACTCGGGCTTGCTATCAAAACATAATGAAGTATCATAATTGAGTTGTGAAGATGCACCAAGCATCAGAACCTTCTTCGTCAAGAATCTTGACCATGTTCAGAACTTCTGAACTTTTCCTGGTTTCTCATAATTCTTAACCACGTCTTCTGAATATCCTTCAGAATTTCTGAATTTTGCCTATCTAGATAAATTCAGTGAACTTTCACAAAGCAATTGTGGAAAACATTGGTTAGAAGCAAAAATATCAGAGCATGTATGAGAATGATTCTTGAGAATAGGTATATAAAAATCATCTTACTTTTGCACCCTTTGTATGAAATCAAAAAGACGTTAAACAAAAACTAATCAAGAAAGATAAACTTTATTGATTAAAAGATAAAGTACAGAATTTTGAAATCAAAAGAAAACAAAGGTAAAAGAAAAAAGGCTAGGGTTTTGGCTTCTCATAAATCTTTGAAGAGATCTCTTGCAGTAGCTTCATAATCTCAACATTGATAGTCTATTGTTCTTAATTCCTTTGATCCTGCAGATCCATCCGTTCTTTGACTAGATCCTTCCCAGTTCTGAACTCATCCAGAAATTACTGAAGTAGAGTAGACGATTACCCAGAACCAGAAGCAGGCAACTTCTCAACACCTGATGTAGGTCCTACTTCATGTTCAGAAGTAATCTCAGCCAAAGTGACATCCTGCTGTACATAACCAACGTCTTCAGCCACAATCACTTATGGAGCAAGAAGCAGAAGAACTAGAGGAGGAGGTTGGCATGCAACAATCTCAACATTTTTCTTCCTCATCGCATCCTTGAAGCTAAAGAATTGAACTTCAGAAGCATTATATTCCATCCACTTCTTGAAGCCATGCCAGGTGTAATTTGTTGCTTAAAGATTTCATCCTTCAATGCAAGTGTCCAAAAAGAAACGCAAATAATCCATGTTCTTATATTTAAAATGAAGCAATACTTCATCTAGAGGGTAGTGGAAGTATGTTGGTTTTAAGAATGAGAGGATTTTAAAGAGTGGAGTAAGGATTGATATCTCTATCTGGAACAACAACGATTCTCTGGATTTCTTCTTCAGAATTATGAGACAATTTAAAATAAACAGGGTTGGTTAGAGAATTTTTAGTTTTCATGGAGTTGAGAAACTCAGTGTCTGTATCAGAATCTTCTGACACAGTCACATGAATATCTAGGTTAGATGAGATATGGATGGTTGTGAATATTGAAGATGGGATCTTTTATGGTTGAGTTGATAGGATATTTGTGGTATCTAGAATTTGGGTTAAAAGGTGTTTAGGAAGCTGATGAGGAGTTTCAAAAACAATTGTTTCAAAAATGGTTGATTTATTAAAGTTTGGTTTAGGTAGAATGGTGGAGAAGGAGTTTGGATTGGTCAGAACATATGGGGCAGATGTTGTTAAGATATAAGAGGCAGGAGATGAATTACTATTTTCATTATGAATAAAAGATTTAGAAGAAAAGTCCTTACATGGACCACACTTGTGCTTCCTATGTTTCTTGACACGCCCAGAAACACCATCTTTAGACAATTTCTTGAGAAGCTTCCTTTTCCTCTTAGAAAAAGATGTAGAATGTTGCACATAGTTTTTAGGGTTTGAAAGAGTGAAAGTGTGGGATAGTGGTAGCAAAAGTGTGTGAAGTGGGAGTGAGTGGGTTTTAAATAGAATTTTTTCATTGATGAAAATAAATTGAATAGTGCAAAAGTTTCTGACAAGAGGTAAAGCAAAAAAAAATTAACCTTTCCCAATAAAATATCTTCTCCCAATGTGTTACATCAAATGTTAAGCGTGCTTCAAGAAAATATAGTTTTATTTCTTTGAATCACCAGCCTTTCACTATCATGACAAATCATTAGTGAAGTAAACTCTTCAGTTTCTAGAGGATAGAAGTTTTTCAAAAGAAAAGATTCTGACCAAGGACGTTTATGAGATATGAGAATTTCACTCTTCAGAATCCTCATATCCCAGAAGTGAATAAATTAAAATACTTTAGAATCTCATTTTCTCATTTTGAGAAGGTGAACATTCTGAGATTACATCTTTCTCATTCTAGACAAGACACCATTTTCAGGTTCTTCAGAATGAAAATGAATCTATCTTCAGCAAGGGGTTTTGTAAAGATATCAGCTCATTGATGGTGTGTATCTATGAATTTTGAAGATAAGATTCTCTTCTATACACAGTATCGAATAAAATGATGTTTAATCTCAATATGTTTAGCCCTATAATGTAAAATGGGATTCTTAGATAAACAAATTGCATAAGTGTTATCACATAAGATATAAATGTTACTCTCATATATATGGAAGTATTCTAGTTGACTTTTCATCCAGAGGATCTGAGTGATGTATCTAGAAGCAGAAATATACTCGACTTGTACAGTTGAGAGCGATATTGTTGATTGCCTCTTGCTGGACCATGAGATCAAATCATCTCCCAGAAACTGACAGCTTCCAGAAGTGCTTTTTCTCTCTAATCTGTGTCCAGCATAATCAACATCACAATAATCTACTAACTTGTATTCACTTGATTTTCTATAACACAAACTAAGGTTAGTAGTACCTTTTAGATACCTAAAAATCCTATTAATAATTGTTAAGTGAGACTCTCTAGGATCTGATTGGAAGCGAGCA